CGGGGGCGGTGCACACATGCACACACACATGCACACACACACACACACACACACACACACATGCAGAGCGCCTGCCTTAAAGGCACAGCGAGCCTGGCTGAGCCTGCTCACCCCCTTCCCCCCTGCAAACAACCCGTCCCGCGCTATAGCCGGGTATCCCGCCCGCTATAGCGCACACCCCAGGGAGAGTTTTCGGGGAAGGGTCTGTGCAGCCCTCCCTCCCCATCCCTGGGAAGGTACACAGGTGTGCGCCTGTGCGCACACAGCCCCTGCACACGCGCCGGCACATGCGCTTTTCTGCTCATCTGCAGGCAGGCATGTGCACACGCGTGTGCACACAGGCGGGCAGGCCGGCGTCTGCACGCCTCCGCACGCGCACATCTGCACACACACTTGCGTGCAAGCATCCGCGTGCACACGCATGTCTGCAGACACGCCTGCGCGCAGACATCTGCGTACATGCATGCCGGCAGACATGTGCGCGCACCTCTGCAGGCAGACGTCTGCACACACAGACCTGCGTATGCGTCAGCATGCAGACGTCTGCACACATCCGCGTGCACCTCTGCATGCAGGCGCCTGCACCTGCACAGTCTGCATACATCCATCAGCACGCATCCGCATCTGCACGTCTCCCCCCACACGCATATGCACACGTGCATCTCTGCACCATCCTATCTACACACACGTGCACACGCACAAACATGCGCACGCATGCATCAGCACGCACAGGCATCTGCACACAAGCACGTCGGCACACACGCGTCTACATAACAGTTGCACGCATGCTTTCGCGCACCTGTCTACAGACAGAGCAGCGCAGAGCTGTGTGCCCCGCACCAGGACACACGTGTGCACACCGAGTGCACCGTGGGGGCACGCTGGGGCACGCGCACACGTGCGCGCAGCTTTGCGCACAGCCACGGAGCGCCGCGGCGGGGCTGCCCGGAGCTTGGCTTGGCTCATCCTGGCTCGGCTTGGCTTGGCTTAGCTCAGTCCAGCTCAGATCGAATCGGGTTGGATTGGATTGACTTGAGCCCAGCTCAGCCTGGCTCAGCTCGGCCCAACTTGGCCCAACTTGGCTCAACCTGGCTCAGCTCGCCTTGGCCCCGCTGCCGCCCGCAGGCAGCACCCGGCTCCCCGCGACTCGCTGCCTTGTCCTCGGCCCCTTTGGAAGGAGAGACCTGATGTCGGATTGCAGACAATTATTAGTTGTCCTGACTGGCCCGAGGGTCAGGAAACACGGAATTAACATCGCAGCCAGTTTCGAGGACACTAGACACTTCGGTGTCGGCGTCAGATTTTTTTCTTTAAGCAGTTCCCATGGAAAAGGAAACTCCCCATCTCTTCTGATCACATACGACAGGTCCTGTGCACGTCTCCGGTAGCTTAGAAAAACACACCGATATTTATTTTCCTTAATTAAGATTGCATAAGATAGCCCTGGGTCCTGGAGACTTTTCTACAGACTGTAATGACGCCATGTAAATTGTTTTTTATGACCCAATATACTACATATTGTCACATTCAACGCTTGAATAGGAAGCTAAAAATCTCGGTCCCTATTTTTCTTGTTAATTAGGGTATTATTACTATGGATATAATCTCATTACTTTTTGGGGAGGAGAAGAACTAGTCGGAGCCACTTTGAAAAGTACTGAATGTATTTAAATGAAGCAAAATCCGTCTTTCTGCTAATTGCTGATTTTGCATGACACAGAATTATTGTTCTTATTTAGGGGGCACAGTTTTCGCTATGCTAGGGGAGAAGGGAGACGGTAAAGGGTGCTGCTTACTATTTTCCTCCCCAGCTCTTCCAGCCAAATGAATGAACGGGCTACCCCATAGGAAACTCTGTCTGCAGATTTCCATCCTCTTAAACACCACAAAAATAAAATAAGCTGCAGCCACTTTGAGTAATAATCATTTGAATGAAATATTTGCTACTTTAAGCTTTTTTTTTTCCTTTCAGATGATCCTCTTGTTTTGCATGTGAAAAAAATCGTCTGAGATTTACAGCCCTCCCAAATGGAGATAAAGCCTTGGCAATGAGTTGGAAACCTGTTGTAATCTGTGATCCAGGAAACAAAGAGCCTCATTAATGCAGAGACTTTGGTGAGCCTTTGATGTTAGCTAGCATAGCATTCACTCTCAGTTCCATTTGCATTTAAACATTCATAAAAACATCATCTCTGCTTCCTTTGCCTTAAGCAATTTGGGAGTAAAGTATAGCTTCTATTTAAAGAAACCCACTGTGGTGAGGCTTAGAATACAAATATCACATAATCTTCAAGCAGAGCAAATATTTTATCCTACGTTTCTGGTGGGCACATTTAATAATATTATGTTTAAGACCCAAAATAAAAGCTCCATCTTATTTTCATTAACCTTACAGCACACATTCAAGTGAAAAGAGAAAAGGGGCCCTGTTAGTTCTAAATATACTACATATGAATTTGTGGAAGTAAGAGAATCCAGAGCATTTTACATTATTCACAAGAGCTGAGTTTTTAAAACCTGGATGCCTACAGCAAGGTGCCCAAATCTGTATTTAGGTGCTGGACACCGCCATTTGTGAAGGAGGTTGTTTCTTTTCATGGGTAGCTGTCTGAATTGCAGAATCTTCGTTTTGTTGTTAGAACGGAGTGAAAAAAGAGACTTTTTTTCTTGCAAACACAAGTGAAAATAAAGATAACTCTCAAATTTGGTAAAGCTACTAAATCGGAATAAACCCATCACGTAGAGTTTTTCTTCCGAGAGAAGGCCCTGTTGCTCCCAGGCAGCCTGCTGACAGCATGGCAGCATTTGGGGAATTTGGGAAACCGCTTAGAAAACAAAGGCCTATCCATCTTATTATTTTCGAAAGTATTATTCACAAACACGTCTATGAGAAGCGGAGCAGTGCTAAAAATATTCAAGTTAGGTTAACTTGATGTCGGGAAGCATTCGACTCCGGGTGTCGACGTTCAGTGTACCATTAAAAATAACAGAGAGTTAAAGTTGATCCCCCGTCGCAGTGTGAGCTCTTTATGTTTGCACTTTTAGGAGCAAATATAAGGGAATCTTTATGTTTAAGGCTGTGAGTCAGTTTAGCCAGACTGATGTTTTAAGCATTATAGGCAAGTTTCCTATATGATGAATATCCAAAATTAAAAATTGAAATGGAAAACAGTTAAAAACAACTTTACCTTGGATAAAATATTTCTGGAGCTGGATCAAAGTAAAACAAAAAGCCTGGCTTACTTGTCAGATCATATCTGCACTGAACTTCAAGGTTTGATTTGTATTATTTACATGGAAAAGGTCTCAAGAAACCAATTTGGCACTAAGTATCTTCATTACATTTTTTCGCTTGTATGGGTGATTAACTCAATCTAGGGTTCCTATTTTAATTTTTTTTGAAAGGTGCAGCCATCTGTGAATTGTGGAACTTTTCTGATGTCATCTTCGTGCTGCAGACATGCTTTTTTCCCCTTCCTTTTTTCATAAGGAGACATTTAAAGAAAAGGAGCATGTTTGTTTTCGCAGTTTCTAACTGTCCTTCCAGCAACTGTTTAGAATTAAAGCCGTACAGTAACTTTTTAGAACATTTTAACTGTAACAGCTGCAGATAATAGTCAGCCCGATTAAACTCTAACTAAATCTGTCTGTCAGTCCCTCCATTCATTATCCTGCATTTATCAACGTGTTGTCTGAACGCTGATGTGAAACCCAGCACATACATTTTTGGATCACAGCGTGCAGATCGGCGTTACGTGTCTTCACCGTACGCACTACATTAAGTGAAGCCTCTCCTTTAATGTCAATGTAAATGTTGCCACTAACTTCTCTGAGGCTAGGATTTCACCCTCAGTTTCATCGAAATTTATATGTAGCTTGAATGTATATGTAGCTTTTGTTTTCTTACATTTTCGTTCATTTAGTAGAAGCAGTTTGGATTAGCTTTCGTTTTACTCTCTCTGGACACATTTTACATCTCGTGTAGGTCCATTTAGTCCTGGCAGGTTGAATGTCCTACATCTGCCTTCCTGTTTCGTTGTATCTGACGCAGATATGTTTCTCTGATACGCATACGCAAATCAAAGTATGCTTTAATTTATAAACACTTACTTAGCATGCTTTTCATACCAGATTAATCAATTCTGTATTCCATTTCTGAGGAGCCTTCCAAATATTTGCCATTCTTTTGGAGAAGCGTTTGCCCAGCTCTTCCATAACGATGGGCTGGTGGACAGATTGGCAATACGAACGTTTCGGATAGACACTCGCAAACTCGTGGGCCAAGCCTCCCCGCGTGGCGTTGCAGCTCAGAGCTCGTGGAGGACAGGCTGGTACCAGCTGAACAAATCCTGGCAAGTGACCAGAGCAAATCAGGCCACTGAAAGCTCTGTTTTGCCCAACGGGGTTTACACTGGTGTAATTACCTCAGCATAGTCATAGCAGGAACATTTCCTTAGTCTAGACAAGCGCTAATAGGTAAAATAGATCTATCGTTTGCAACTGAAACATCTCGACCTGGCTACGGCCAGCTCTACCCGGTGATGCCTCGTGTTCTTCTTTCCGCTGTGTCTCCCCTTGGCTCGCGTGTGCCTGGCCACAGCAGGACGTTGGGTTGGTGTGGAGCCTCCTCCGGTTTTCAGCTGTTGGCCTGCAATAGATAAAAGGGTCAAGCACTCAGACAGCCGTTTCCTCACTTGGTTTCTCTGCCCACCTGAATCTTGCGCTATTAAGTATTTATTTGACTTCTGTGACAAGCTCTGGGATAGGCATTGATCTAAACGTACTTAAAAGATTCACTGGCAGAAGCCAAAAGATTGCTTTTAAAAATACGAATAGAAAATTGACTCCCTGACATGGCAATATTTAGGCTGCTTTCTAATGCTGACATGCTTTTCTGGAAACGTTCCCAGCTGTCGTGACTGGAGACTCCTTTGTTGCCTCTTGGGAGGCAAGTAGCAAAGGCACCGCAGTCTTGTGGCTGGGGCCAGAATCGTGCTTTCTCCAGGAAATTGTAGTGAAAGAGGATAATCTCTCTCAAAAGTCATTATCAGATGTTAAAAGCCATAGTGTGAAATCCATTTTGGAGTCTGTGATCTTTGGATAACTTCCTGTATCTATTGCACAACCTGGCACGAGCTATTGTCAGATCTCCCTGCTACGGTTTGAGGTTTTACCTGTGTTAGAAGAGTCCCTCTCTTTAGATTTTGTCAGGTTGTAGTGCTGTCTCTTCAGGCAGTTTTCACTTAAAAAGTCATTTCTTTGTTCCTGATACTAACAGCACTTCAGATTATGAAAGGATTTTAAAAGAGTCACCTATTTTTCACTCTGTGTATTTTGCTCACCTCTTGGGTTTGGAGCTGGACCAACCAACTGGCATCATGTTTAATATTTCTTATTACTTTCACTGGCAGGTTCTCAGGCGCTTGCCCGATGCTGAAAGATTTGAGTTTCAAACAGGAAGGAGCATGTTTGTTTGTTTACAAAAACACTTTTCCAGTGCTGCATCCTGTGGTCATACAATCATCCAAGCAGTCTGTGCTCCAGTGAATCATTCCTCCAAATGAAAAGGACCCACGAAGAAGGATTTGCAAAATCACACTCATTGCTTCTACAACCCTTTTTTCCTTAAACCATAGGGGAAAGTCAGTTGATTGTTGTGATCTTTAAAACTCTATTTTGACCAAACCAAACTACTGGATTTCTTTTTTTGTCTGGCACAGTCCTTTAGATTGTAACAAAATCCCTGCAAGCCGGTAGAAGTAGCCCCTTGCTGTACATTACCAGCTTGCTTCAATTCGCGTAAAGTACACTTTGTCCTGGGGTTCCTGTTTGTGCATCGGATGGAACAAAGTACAAGAGAAATCCAAATATTGTTCTTTAAGCTCAGCTCTGGTCGGACATGTTATCCAGTCCGCCGCTGAGCCTGGTTGTGAGGTTGTTTTTCAGAGTCAGCCTCCAACTGCTTCTTCCCCTCTTGCGCGTCTTCTAGCCAAGGTGACTGGGCTCCATCGGATGGGCCAGCAAAATTTCACATAAAGCCATTCCCTATCCTGCTTCTGTCAGAATGATCCAAATCTTAAAAGAAAGTCCAATTGTTAAACGGGCCTTAACTAGAGTAATTTCAAGTAAGAGGGGTTAGATAGCTCTGGCTGCAGATCATCGCTGCCGACAGGGGCTGGGCTGCAGCAAAACTGCTGAACGGAGTAACTGGCAGTGATTTCCGAGCTTGGTTTCGGTTGTCCTGCACTGAGACATCCAAACGGAGAACTACTGGCTTTTTGGACGCTCAAGAGAGCAATGAAAGGAGCAAGACACAGACTCGAGCCTGCCTCGCTGAGAGGTACCTGCGGGGACTAGCGTTGTTGGGGAAAAGGGAAAAAGGGTTTAGGATTATTATGACAACCTTGGCTGCAGCTCGCTCTGTGATCCCCACATTAGCACATCAAACTCCCGCCGAGCGGAGCTGGAGGCTTTGGCAGTCTCCGGCCTTACCCGAAGGCTCGTTGGAGTCACACGGCAGGAAGCCCTCCCCGACTCGCTGCAGTTGGGAGCTAGGCAGAAAGAAAAGGGGAAAGAAATGGAAACAGCTGGTAGGACGTGAGACTGAAAGGAAATTGTCAAGATAATGGTGGTGGGACAGGCCAGCCAGTTCGGAAGCCAAAGGAAAATGAGTCCAATATCTGAAAACCATCCATATCATTTGGGCTGTAGTAGACCACTTCTGATACATTTCTCCCAGCACTTCTCCAGACCCATAGCACAAGGTGTCTTTCTGTGCAATTTCGGTTTTTTTAAATCATTTTTAGCTTATGAATCTTGCCTGCTGTGGGAAAGAAGAAAAAAACAAGTCAAGAGCTGGGGAAAGAAGGAAGCAGGGGAAAAAACATGTGACAGGATTTCTAGAGGGGGCATATTAAGTTTATAAACTTTCACAATGTAATTCTTGAAAGAAGGAAGAGGAAAGAGCCCAACATATTCACGAATCTGAATTCCGCCGGGTAGAGCTTGCTGCTAATGAACGCAGAACACTTTATTTACTAGTTGCAGAACATTTTTATTTATTTTGGAAATGTTATTTCTTTCAGCTCCTTACCGCTGGCTTTCTCAAGACGCGCTGACACGACGCCAGCCTGAGCTTGTCAGCTTCATACCTCTCTGTACTCCGACGGCAAAATGAAAGAGAAGTGAGGAAAGGTAAATGCTAAAGGGAGGCTTGTGTTCCTGCATCGTTTGTGCCACCGCCTTCATCCTTGCCATGTCCCTCTTGCCAGCGTTTTCTTCGCTCCCCCTTGTCCAAACGTACGCCGGGGACTTTGCCATCCCCTCATGCGCATTTGTACGGTACAGTATGCTTGCTCTTACCTACTTTTCTGAACGTACAAAGAGGCTAAAAAGAAACCAGATTAAAGGAGCATTAAAAGCTGTGCTACAAATCCTACCATATTAAGCAAGGCAATTCTTATAGTTGTTTTGGGCTGGTTGAACAGAAGGGGTGCCTTTGAGTTGAACTACATGTTTCAACAGTATGTTGTTCTGAAAAGTGTTGTATATGTGCCGACATCCGCTGTTGGCATGTGTACAGACTGAAGCTTGCCAGCTCCTCCTAATCTGGAAAGAGGAGACATGCAGTGTTAAATACATGTGTCATCACTAGTCTTCCCCCCACAACAATTTTATCATTTGGTTGTGCAACGTATTTGAACCAAGTTAGCCCATTTAGTTTAGATGAACTGAGGCCAAATAACTGTACTGAAGCTGACTTCAGAGACTTGAGAGGAGTTGCTTGAATAGCTCGTCCCTAAGTAAATGCAAACACCCTGTTATGGTCCTTATTCTGCTCCTCAGACAAAGACCTTTTGGTAGGGTTGCGGTCAGAGGGAGGGGGAGCCCCTAAGAAAACCGTGCAGCTCATTGCATCATATGGCTTTTCACTCTCATCATGTTAAATCTTACAGGCAAGGCAGGACCAGACCCGAGCAGGGGACCCCAAGGAAACCCCAAGCTGCAAGGGATGGTTTTGGTGACTCAGAAGGTGGCATGGATCCTTCTGAGTCAGGACTGAACCTACGTTCTGGTGTGACGTTAGCACACCCAAGCTTGGGACATTTTTTAGACTGAAAGCCTGACTACTTACACCGGTGAATGTCCCGGGAGACATGCGTACTCGTGCGGATGGTGAGTCCAGTGACCCCATTGCAGTCCATAACGGTGTTTCCCTCAACAAGTGCTTTGTATGGTGTCGGTTTCTGCCCCCTTTAAGGCTACCACCGTGGGTATACCACAGTCCTAAGGTATGACCGTAGCTGGTTGTGGTACGCCTTTAACTAATTAGTCTGGAAGCTCCCACCTGTGTCTTAGCTTCAGCTGCTGAGTATTTAAGCCAAAGTCTCGCTCCTCTGCTCCCTCTGGGGATAGCTGAGCTGGTGGTATGTGAGTGAGCTCATGTGAAGTGTGCTGGGGTATGCCCATGGGGGCTGTAGGCACACCTTTAGCTTTCTGGGCTGGCTCATGCTGTCTGAAGTGGCTCTGCGCTTTGCCACCTCTGCTTTGCTGGTCTAGGGTAAGCCCAGGAGTTACCTGCTGCTCTCTCCTGTTTTTCCTGGAGTGGCTTTGGTGCTTGTTATCTTGTCAAACAAGACAGATGATGGAAGGCTGAAATGCAGTTGTGAGTCTTAGGGGATCCTGGTCTGGACTCCAGCTCTTGAGACTGTTGGTTTTGGACTGAGATGTAGGATAGTTTGTGCCCTTAACTCTGTGATGAGTCTGTTAGTTGTCTGCCTATACTGTGCATAGGTACAGGAACCGTGCGGTAGTAGCAGATGATGTGTTGCTGGAGAATTAAGAAGTGGATGGTGTGCAGTGGCAATGGGCAGCTTGCTTACAGGCAAACAGGAGTTGCTAAAAGGCTTTAGTGATCAGAGAAGAAAGCACAGAACTGGAGACTTTAGGAGGACAAGTAGAAGTACATAAAAATGCAATCACCCATTTTAATGGCTAAACATGAATTATGTTATGAGATGCTTTCATCTTAGTATAGGTTAGCATTCCTCTGTTTTTTATATTTGTATATAAATGTTTTTCTTGAAGTAAAGTCAGCCTAATTGGAAGTAAGAGCTGTTCTATGTCATTTATTATAATACTCTAATATATTTCCCCTAGTTAATCATTGCTATTTCTAAATATAAATTTCCTTTCCTTTTCTTTCAAGTCACTTAAAATGAAAGGGCCTGCTTTACTCTTTGACCTCCTCTAACAAGCAGACCCTTGAAATGCAGCGTTTCCAGAAAGCAAGCTGTAGGAACAACAGATGGATTTAGTAAATTACAGCCTGCAGATGAATTGTGTGAGGAGTAAGTTTGGGATGGAGGCTTAAAATAAGCAGAAATGTTCTATGCTGTAGCTTGTTTCTTGCTGTCAAACCCTGACTGTTAAGTGCGAGTTGTGTGATGTTAGCTTTCTGCACTGATTGATTTGTAGGAGTCGTTCAGCCCTGAATTACCAGCTCTTTGGGGCTCAGCTTGCAATACTACTCCGCCAGGAGACTGTATCCTCTAGGTATGTTTCAATATTTTGCATTTTTTATCTGCTAAAGCTATTCTGATGGACTACTTGCCCTGATCAGTAAATTCTAAAATCTGTTTGTGATTTCCCAGGGATTTTGTAGACAAATTAGTGCATGTCTATTTGCAGGACAGGTGACTCCTAAATGATAAAGTAGTAGTTTATAATCAAGTCCATTGCTTGTAACAGTCATTCTGAGCTAGATATTTGCTTATCTTTCAATGTACTAATCCCTTTTGGGATTAACAACTCATTTTTCAAGAGCGTGGTCTTGGTTCTGCAGACCTTGCTGACCTTTGTGAGTTCAGGGGGTGTGATTGGGTACAAGGGCTGCAGGAGCAGACCTTCACTCAGATAGGTTTCCTTGAGGTGATTTTAGCAATTGCTCTGAGGTTTGAAACTCCATAATGTATTTGACAGAGTAGCAGCAGTAAGTTGTCATTGTGATCAAACAGAAAGCTTCTGCGGGGAAGAATAAATTATTTGCATGGATGTGATGAATGCTTGAAGGGAATTTGAAAAATTGCATGTTGAGCACTGGGAAAATTTCTGAAAATGATCTGTGTTGGTCTTTGTGGTGTCAGAAACTTAACATTAAAAAGGGATCATCACTGGCTCTGTTTATGGCATAGTGTTAAATGTTCTCCAAAAGGAGTATATCTAACATAGCATGGCAATTGATGTAAAATCAGGTGGGTTCTTACTCACGTGAATATTTACATCAGTAATGAACTTTTGGAGGCGCTGTTTCTCATCATGTATCCATAAGAATATCAACACTTTTTACAGCATGTTCCTTTGCTGTGCCCAAGTTAGCAGTCCTTCAAGTCACTTGAATTTAGATCAGTTGTGTGATAAACTTTAATGAATCTCTGCACAAGGATTATGTATGGGACCAATGTTGTTCAAAAAGGGACTTGCAGGAATCATGTCTGCTTTAGCTAAAATACAGTTCCCCTTTGGAAGGAAAAGATATGTATGGTAATAAGGAAGAGGGTAATAGCAACAATGTTGTCAACACTTGGGAAACTGGTGCAAAATATTTTCAGTGCTGCTTTCTGCTTGACCTCTGAGTGCAGTATCAGCAGCTGTAGCTCATTACTGTCTGCTGCCTTGGTCCCCAGATCATGCTGCCTGGGAATGGCTCAGCATGTAGCCCAGCGCCCATCCCATCCAGCAGGGCCTGGCTCCCTTGCAAGGAAACTGGTGCAGGAGGGGAAGGGTGTGCATGCTGTCCTGAAGCTGCGCTGGCATGGGGCAAGGGTGTGTACCTGGGGGCCAGGTTTGCAGGGTGCATTGCACAGAGCACCTGCCCAGATCCTGCCTCTGGGGGGGGCCTTCCCTTGGGAGAGCATCTGGCATCACAAATACAGAGTAGGTAGCAGAGCTGCAGCACTTCATGTGCTGGTAGCATCCAGAGGCCAGGCTACAAACAGGATGTTTGCACTTTGTAACGGTATTACAAGACTCTGCAAAGTTTTCTCAGAAGTCACGGATCCAAACAGGACTGCTTCTATGAGAAACGGTTACAGAATGCAAATCACAATTAACTACAGTAAACAGCAACCCTTGCTTGTATCTGATTTTCTTCCAAGGCAGTCATTGTGAGTGAAATTACCAGCTCTTTTTT